CATACTCTTTGAGGAATTCGGACAGCGTGAGGTGTTGGAGGGAGTTGGCCAGCTCTGCGCTGGTCTCATCGTCAGCTGACTGAGCACGTCTACGAAACCTTAACTCCCTATAGAGGTACAGTACAGCACTCTGAGTGTTCATAGACACAACAGATACATACATTTACATTGGAATGTATCCACACTCCACACACACAGACTGTCTCTGGAGGGCACTACTGTGCTTTGCTGTAAAAAAAACATTAAGAAAAAACATACTGCAGGGAAATAAGTTGACAGATATGGATGATGATGATATATGAGCTGCAATATGACATACTGTATGTCAGTCACCAACTACTGCATGCATATCTATGTGTCCATTTACATGAATATTTTTGCTCATTAAACAAAAACAACACTATCCAATAGCATTCAATTTGGAAAGGTTAACACCTAAAAAAGGTGCCACGTCCTTCAAATCAACAGAAAGTATCTTGTCACCTGGCATCCATGTAGAATTGTTCTCAACAGTTTTATTCTCTGGTTAATACCTAACACTGGGATCAGTGGAGATGAAAGGTTGTCAGAGGTCTGCATTACCTTTTCTCTTGAGGCTGCTCTGATGTGCTGCAGGCACGATGTTCTGAGGAAAAGATAATTTTATCATTTAGATTGCTTCTGTCAAGACCACTTTTTAATGGCTTTTGAAACACTCATAAAGAAACATCTTCGAGAATTTACAATAGGTTTCCTTAAAGACTTTATAAACATTCATCTACAGACTGATGACACCATCCTTCCTTTCCAGCAACATCTTATCAAATAATGATGAAACCCCTTGAGGGTGAAGGCAGACGCACTGCAATTAGGCTTCCACAACCAGCAAGCAAAGCCATGGAGATTTGCAATCTCACACATACTGTACACACACCAGACCAGTGTTGTTATCGTTTACAAAAACTAAAACTATTAAAAACATTTTTTAAATAATTTAAACAAAACTGACATAAAATAAAATATAAATATGAGATGAAAATGTAAACTTAAAAAAATAGAACTGAAGTACCAAAATTACAAAAATATAAAAACAAAAGGCAATTGAAAAATTAATATATAAATAATAATAAAATAGCACACTATATATTACAAACACAAAAAAAACATCCATTTTCATAAATCACTTTCTCCCACAAACACAGAGTGCTTTCAGCAGCAGAAGTGTTGCGCTATGTTGTTAGTAGCGTGCGGTATAAGAGGTGGGTGAGCGAGTGAGCGGGTGAGCAGGCGTGGCCGTACTTACTAACAGGGTTGAGCAGAGACAGAGATTTAGACAGAGACAGTGCCTGTAGTAGAGACCTGCTCCCACTGTTGCTGGAGAGGGCGCCATCTACAGGACACAGCGGACATGACACTCACAACAGCCCGACACTATTCTACACATACATACTGTGCCGGTTTTGAATGGAAGAATTTGTATAAATTATGAAATATCATAGCAGAAAGAGCCAAAAATAGGTGATTTGATGATTGGATCCTCTATTAATGATGTCTGGATCATCAAGCAGCAGCACATTTTGGCTGTCTCTCAAAACCAAACATTCAAACATGCCTGTCCCTGCTAGACAATCCAACTTATGTGTGCAGCTGTGTTTTGGAACATGGTAGGTGGTTAGCTGGTCATAGCTGGTCATTAGCTGTTCTAAGTTCATCGTCGGCTGGACTACCAGCCGCAATGAACCAGCTTGACCATAAGAAGCTGGTCAGACGATGTAGAAGATGGATTGCTGATCCATGACGGTTTACAAGCTTCAGAATGGTTTAGTCCAGCTATCATGTACTAAATAACACGATTACAATCTTGAATTGGTGTTTCCAGCAGGGATGATGCCCAAATAAGCTGTCTACATTAGCTAGCTACTTGGTTTTGAGGATATATGTTAGTAGTGTGTGTCTATTCACTACAGTTTTGTTAGTAATCAAGTGTAAAGGCTATTATGTTCGGCTATTATGTTGGTGTGACCATAAATTATTTTACAGACATTAGAACTAGAAAGGAATATCGTCAGAGTTTTCCTATAAACATTAATAATCTACTTAACAGCCTTGGATGAATGGAATAGAACAGGCTTGATTATGCTACCAAATGAGATTCAGCACCATTAACTGCCACAGAAACGGGCAATTATTGGGAGATACTCCGACTCACTGGATGTTAATGAATGTAGATCATCCGAGGGCATTACAAACAAGCTAAATTTTGTAGTTACACCCTTTTTAAAGAGATGAAACAACTGATAAAAAAGGTGATCATGAGCTAAATACTGTAAATTTTAGCTTAATATCCATGAAACTGTAAGAAAATAGGCCTGTTTCACATTGCATATGTAAGCAGTGCACATTCAAGGCAGAATCGTGACTATAATAGCACTGTGTTCTGCTTTTCCACTGACAGCTCTAAAAAGAAAAAAAATCTGGGTTGCCACATTGGATATTATATTTAAGAAACTTATAAATCATTATTGGGAGTGTATGTGAACTTGATCATCATTAAATATAATATTTACTGGATTTACATCCAAATGGAAATTAATCTACACAGAACAGAACACAAACCCTACAACAATAAACCACAAATGGTCTGGATTTTGATTCACAGTGTCAAACAGGTCATATACTGTATAAATAAATGTTCTGATCTTGCTATAAAAAAACAAAACCAAAAGAAAATATTCAGTTTTCAGTGAATTACAAATCCTGTCATCCCTTAAAAGCTCATCATGCTTAAAACAGACTAGACAGGAAATACAAGAGATGTTATGACTATGCTCAGTCACTCTCAGCAATGAGAAAAAAACTAGTTTTTATCTCTAGTGATTATCTAGTTTTATTATAACCTGTATGTAAAAAAATGATCATCTACCCAAGCATCCTGATTGTTTGTTTTTTTCACATTAGACTTGACTTCCTGTCATCTGTCCCTGTAACACTAAACACTAACCTTGGCAAAAGCACACATCATTTGGGACATAACGCAAGTAAAGTGAGAGGTGGATGGTGAAAGGTGAGAGGATCTGACCCTGGTTGAGGTCAGTAGGTGGAGGGTTCGCATCCCTACTGAATCGTGGAGGCAGCAGGCTGATTTTGGGGGAGGTGTAGGAATATGAACGAAGACGGATGCCCTGCTCAATATCCTGAAAAAATAAATAATGAAAATTTCACTCAGTTTCCATCTCACAGTACTCAAAAATGTAGTAATGATGATCACGTGTATTATCTGTAGTCAGATATCTGTATTTGTGCAGTTTGCCTCACTGTTGAGAACAGGGAAAATAAGTGCGGTACCTTTGCAGGGGTGGGGTTACAGGCAGAGGAGGCGGAGTGAGAACGCGTGCAGGTAAGATCAGGGGCGGGCTTAAACATAATCCGATCATCTGCGCTGTTTTTGAGCTCAGGCTGTGGCTGGGGGAGGGGCTTCTTCATTAAAATGTCATCATCATCATCCTCCTCGCTGTCCATTTCCAAGGCCACCAGACTCGGGCTAAGAGAGAGGATTGGACTTCTAAAAATTCTCAACAACCACTGTGAGTAAGACGAGCATCACTTACGCTTTGTAAATAATTCATACATTTTGAACTATGCTGAAATCCCACAAAAAGGCAAATGTTTCTAAATCATGGAAACATTTTTCAAATTGATTGTGGGCTTATGCATAACAACTGCACTCCTGCTTTACAAGGCAAATGCATCCAGCAAACAGGGCCCGGTAACTTGTCAGTTTGCCCTGGGTTTGTTTTTTGTTTGTGTCTGGTTTCACATTTCTTCTACTGCAGAAGTTTTGCTTCAGAAAGAAAGTGGTGCCCAATACAGTACAAATTTGTTATTGTACACAAGTAAACAAAATGTCATTAAAATGTTTTCCAAACAGTGAAATTCATCCGACTGATGGGTCCATGCTCTCGGCAGCCAAGAATTCATTGCACAAAAACACATGTGGTCAGCACAAAGAAACAATGTTTATTCTACATGTAAGAGAACCTGCATTTAATGCATGAATTATTTTTTTATGTCATGCAACCTATCTATGTTGGCATGTGCCTGATGTGGCTACTTCAAGTATAAACTGAGGACATAAACTACTATTCAAAAGTTTGGGGTTGGTAATATTTCTGGAAAGAAACTGACACGTTTTTTTCAGCAAGAATGCATTTAGCTTCATCAAAAGTGTCATTAAAGACATTTATAATGCTACAAAAGATTTACATTTAAAATTAATGCTGTTCTTTTGAACTTTCAAAAACATAATAAAATACTTCCACAAAAACATTAAGCAGCACAACTGTTTTCAATATTGCTAATAATAACAAAATGTTTCTTGAGCACCAAATCAGCATATTAGAATGATTTCTGAAGGATCATGTGATACTGAAGACTGGAGTAATGGCTGCTGAAAATTAAGCAAATTAAATATATTTTGAAGAGTAATGTTTTTTCTGTATTTATGATCAAATACATGTAGCCTTGGTAAGCATAATATACTTTATTCAAAAACATAAAAAAAAAATCTCACCGACCCCAAACTTTCAAATGGTAGTGTATAAAGTGTACAGTGTCGAAATTAACTGACCGTCACAACAAAACATCAATGTTAGCATGCTTACCTTAGGTCACATGACTCTGTAGGTGAGCTTGAGCTGTTATATGTAAATTCAGCAGGTCGTGTGGCACGCATGAGTCTATCCAGCATCAGTCCCGCAGGAGAGGTGGAAGAGAAAGAATGAGAAGCATGTTGCCGTCCTCTCTGCCCTTCATCATCTTTAACAGCTGGAGGCATATCTACAGTCCCTGGTGACAAGACCCCCGTATCTGACATTCGCCACACACCACTATCTGTCCCAGAGCTGTCCTCTGTGACACCTGAAACAGCATACTTCATATCGAGATCATTGTCCTACATCAGAAGGGAACACAAAGAAATATCTGTACATGTGCAATATTTGTACATATACATATACAAATATATAAGTAGAAGAAATATTAAGTAACAAGAAGTAATACATTACATTTTTTAATAAAAAAAATGTCACTCTCATGGCATGATAAAAACCTGTATTACTTACTTTCTTTGAAAAAAAATTTAACCATTTTTGTCCATACAGTGAAAGTCAATGGGGTCCAAAACATTAGTGGTCCCCACTGACTTTCATTGCACATTTTTCAAAATATCTAAATGGAAAAAATGGAAATGGAAAATATCTGCTAAATGGAAGAAATAAAATCATACAGGTTTGGAAGGACATGAGGGCAAGTACAGTAAATTATGATGATTTTCATTTTTGGGTGAACTATCCCTTTAATAGTAAGACTCAATTAAAACGGTTCTTTTGCCACAGGGTTCTAAGAATATACACACAAAGCCTGACGTCTCATAAAACATAGCAGCATGTCTTTAATAATGTCAAACTTTGTGGCAACAGAAGAGTTGTGGTTTAAGATTCAGGCTACAACGTTCCAAGATCAAATAAAGACTTTCCCTAAGACTTTCACGGAGATCAATCACAGGATAAAGGCAGTAAATGAAGGGAGGAGATGGGATTTGGATGAAAAACGTTACAGCTGAGTGTCTGCAGATCTGGCATACTGAGTGAGCTGATTTGTAGAAGCAGCGATATGTGTGGCGTCTGACCTTAGCGGAGCCTCTGAGCATGGCTGTGAGCCTGACAGCAGCAGTGTCTGAGGAATGAAGGTGAAATGGAGTGCAGGAGCCAGGAGAGGAACACAGCTTCTCTGTCAAAACAAAACACGCTGTCAATGCAACTGGATGGAAATGCAGTGTCAGTGATATTTAAAAGTTAGCTAATAAAAACAATATTGTAAATATCAGCTGTCACTTTACAGGCTGCTGCCTTTGTTCAGTTTGGAAACGTTTGTGTGCATGTGTGTGCACAAGTGTTTTGACAATCTCTGAATGCCAAGATGGCAGAAGAAACCAGTAAATCAGAAAATAGCACAACAGCATGGTCTCTTTATGGCCATTAAATTTTCTGTTTCATTTTCAGGAATGCTTTCCTTTTGCACAGTTAACTCTACATGTCTCTGCATTTATACTGCCGTGAGATCCAACAAATACTTTTTTGAGAAATAAAGAAATACTTTTTTTAAATTCGTTATTTAACAGTAAAAAACTGCCCCAGAATTAGCTACAAATCTAAATGTTATCTGCTGCCCCTATTCAGCAAGGACACATTAAATTGATCAAAAGTGAGAGTAAAGAAATATAACATTATAAAAGATTTATATTTCAAATAAAGGCTGTTCATTTTTTAGCACCAAATCAGCATATTAGAATGATTTAAGAAGTATGATGTGACACTGAAGACTGGAGTAAAGATGCTGAAAATTAATTTCTAAAATAGATTGAGGAACTCAATGTGAGGGTTAATTAAGTGATTGATGGTTGTTCAGATCTATGCAATGCACATATTGCTGTAAACTTGGGATTTCACATTTTCATTCTCTTAAACTAATTATTTTCCTCACTTTCTCTCTTTCTGCAAACTTGTGTGAATGCGTGTGTTCATGTGTTAGATTAGTTTATATGTCTTAGATTTATCCAATAAAGCCTTATTTATATGGAAAAGAGAAGTATCTTGTGTTTTGTGCTCACAAGTTAATGTCTTAAACTGCCGATCTTGTTACTATGCTAATTAATAGTGTGTTCACTATATTTTGGATATAAATATCCATTGCAGAATTGCTGTCATACGGCTCGTTCACTGAATCGCTGGCCGTCTCAGTGATCAGCCGTAAAACAGTGATTCTGTCCTAATTCCCTTGCATATCAATGGTGGAGTTCCCTTTAAAATCTTAAATGATTCCCTTTGAGCTAAATTATTATTATTATTATTATTGACCTGTTTACCCTACAAGATTTATATTTCAAATAAAGGCTGTTCATTTTTTAGCACCAAATCAGCATATTAGAATGATTTAAGAAGTATGATGTGACACTGAAGACTGGAGTAAAGATGCTGAAAATTAATTTCTAAAATAGAAAACAGTGATTTTATATTTTATTAATATTTCACAATATTACTGTTTCAACAGTATTTTTAATTAAAACAAATGCAGCCTTGAGCATAAGAGACCTCTTTCGAGAGAAAAAAAAACCCAACCCCAAATGAATGGTATAATTTTGAATGGTATAATAGTGTATATTGTTTCTCACAGCAGACACTTTTAACAGACACTTATCCTTTCACTTTTACATCTTTATAGTTTCAAAGCAACTTAGAAATGAGAAATAAATCCAAGTGAGCAATTATTTAAGCAAATCTGCTACTAACTTAGATAACAGAGAACTCCATTAATAAATCCTAAACTATGAAGAAGAAACCGTTGAATAATAAATTATCTTCTGGGCACACACACACAAAATGTGTGGTCCCAATGCAGTCAAAGTGGTGCAGTGTGTAAAGAAAATAGAAGAAACAGACATTCAGCCTTTCTCACACACACTTGTAACGACCTTTACAGCTCTGTGCAGAAACACAAACTTACACATGTACCTATCCATTCACATGACAAAAACTTCCACTGACAATGTCAAACAAACACAAACACACCAACATTACATTTTCAAGGAAAAGATCTGTATATGCTGGCACATAATCAGTTGTGTGTCTTGGTAAAGATGATGTGTAAAAGTGAAAGTAAGATTCCAATAACTTGCAGGGGCACCCCGTAATGAAGGATGCATGTGAAGGCCTTCCAACAATAACGGAAAAACCAGATACTGACGTCAACTTCACAAACACACACACACACACACACACACAGAGACTTTATTCATTCAGATACTTGGTGAATCACACATATGCAGGAAACCCAAACACAGGGCTCATGTGTGCTGAATTCCCATCAACTCAAAAGCACATCTAAAACATCTGTAATACTAACACAATAACTGGATAATGCAGTTTGGCTTTCAAATGATTAACTATGACTCACTCATTTTGACCTTTGACAGGCAGTTTTCTTTTATCCTTCCTCTGACTACAGCATCTTCGGTCAGGATGACCATACACATTTTTGAGGTGAGATTTGAAAAACTAATACCAGCCGAATAACCACTGTAATGTCCTATCAAAAACATCTCACTGCAAGCCTGGCTTGAAAGTCCCATTGTACAGAACCAGAACCAGAACCAGCTATTTGAGCTCTGACTCATTGCTGAATTAAGCCTGTAAAGCTGCCCTGCACCACAGACCAGAAACAATGGACAAAAACACACAAACTAAAGTCATGTGAGACAATCAAAGGCTTTTAGGATGTGCATGTGTTCAGGCATTGTATTTGTGTGTCTTTGTTGCATGCATCATTCGTACAGACTATCTCTAGTTACCTGCTTTTGATGTCCGTCTCCGGATTCTCATCTTTGGGAAGGATGGCCATGAGTAGTTAAACGGAGAGTCTGAGTCAGAGTCCATGTTTTTAGTTTTCCTCAACTGCTCCGTTGTGTGAAACACATAACAGTAAAATCACCAAGGAGTTAGGCAGGAGTTCGAGAACACCTTTCTAAAAAATGCAGATTCCTCAGATAAGCGTTGAGGAGATGAGTCTGCGAGTGTTTGCGAGCGTATCGGAGAAGGTGGGCTCAGTCTCGACACTCTATACTCCCACTTTTTTGTTGCAGGCAGAGTCAGAACTCAAACTGGACCTGGGAGAGAGCACGACTGAGGGATTTTCAAATGAAGGTGTCTGTAGGAATCTGAAAGGTCAGCCAAGGTTTAGGAATCATTAACCATACACGCTAATAAAACCCCATGAGGTCCTGGGATGCAAAAGGACAAACACTACCTCTTACTCTTTGTAAACAAATAATACAACAAACTGCCATTTCACTGTGGAACAAATTACTATAATTATATTTTCATAAATTCATGATGCAAAGCAACCTAATTTGTAATGCAACTTCTCACAGGCAGGAATGAGTCATGTATAGCCTCAAAAACTGTAAAAGGGTGGGCCAAACTGATTTGCAACACACATTCATTAATTTTAATAACAATCCCAGAGTGGTGGCCCACAACATAATCTAGAACATGATCTCAAATTTATAAACAGCTTTCCAAATGAAAGACTCACTTCTGTGTTTAGATCACTTCAGAATTTTCCATCCAACATTTTGCTAGGAAATCTGTCCTGCAATATTATCTCCATTTAAAACATGACATTACTGAAAAAACTAAACTAGTTATGCTGAGCTGATAGTTAATGATAAATCTAAAAATATATATATCAGTAATATTATTGTAATTGTATATAATACAATATTAACTTATATTAACATAACATTGAAATTTAAACCGTGATCTGCAACAAAATAACAAATTGACACCAAACCAACCTCAAATCACAAAGTCAATCCTACAAAATCCAACTATATATATAAAAAATACCCTACTTAAAATCAACAGCACAAACCAAATCTGACACACTCAATTCACAAAATCAAACCCGCTAAAATGCAACAACACAAACTCAACAACACACATTACATCTAAAAAGCCAAGTCACCACCAGCCAGGAACTTTTAAAAAGCAGTATCACAGCCAGGTGTGTGTGTGTGTGTGTGTGTGTGTGTGTCTGAGACGAGATGGATTACTCTCTGCATGTGGTGGACATTCAGTCTCTGCTAGAGAACCACTCAGTGTGTGTATGCATCCATCCTTCAGCGGGAACATGTGCTCCAGTAATCCAAACACCAGGCTCATTCAGTTCACCAAAGGTCTCAAAAACCAACAAAAGTCTTTTATTTCACAGGTTAGGATTTTTTAAATGGTACCATCAGTGTGCTGCATGAGTTGCTTAGAAAATCCTCCTTATGAAGGCAGATCTCCTGATAGGTGAAGGTGAGCAAACAAAAATGTCAGATTTAGTTCCTTTTTTCTTATACCCTTTTGTACGTGTTCTTATTCCTTTATTTCTATGACAGCGGAATTGTCCATTCAGTTTAAATCGAGAGCTGCAAAAGGTTTGCTTCCAGTCAGCCTGCTCTTTTCTGTGGACTGTGACTGTTTCAGTCTCTCATGAAATCTGGGCTCCAACCCCAGCTCTCTCCTCCCTCCAGAGTTGTTAGTGGCTAACCGTTTGTGTGTGAGAGACTGAGTTTGTGTTTTAAAATGAGAAATATGGGAATGATAGTTCAGTATAGCTCAAATTATGAGAATGGGTTGCATACTGTATGCGAGTATGAATGAATAAATGTCTAAATATAGTCAATCATTAAAAATATATTTTTATAATCATTATCATGGGTAAGTACCACTTCTTTTCAAAAGTTATGGGCAAAAAAAATTAAAAATCAAGATATTTGCATATTTTGTGTAGTGCAATTTGCTCATTTTAATCCAATTTTGATCAAATTTAATTTAATTAATTTAAACTGACAATCCTCATGCATAATACTTTCCAACGTCTTCTTTCTTTAAATACCAAAATGTAAAAAAGTCATGAGATTACTCCCAATTAAAACCTAAAGTAGTCTTTTTTTCTAGGTTTAACCAAACAAACTCCAAATCTGTCCAAAGACCCCAATAACTTACTAAACATAGACCTGTTTGGGAATCATTTTGCTTTGTGAACAAGGTAACTGGGAGAAATCGGTGAAAGCATCTGTATTAGGATGAGGAACACGTTCTGTGGAATGGGCTAAAGTTTAAAGCATCATCTTAAATGTCAGCTTTTGTGCAAGTTCAAAAATCTAAGCTTGTTAACATTCCTGCCTCCACTTTACAGTTGAAACTGTGAATGTGCATGTCTGTGTGAAAGGGTGGTTGGGTTAAAGGGGCCAAAGCCATTGCAAAAGAAATGAGTTACACCTTGAGTCCTCCTTGCTGAACTACAAATCTCCCTATCTTCCTCCCAAAAAAAAACCCTAATAAATAAATAAAATATATTTAATTAATAAATTGTAGTTTTTGAACCAAGGGCAGCAGACCCTTGAGAGCAATAGCAGCACCTGCGATCCAGAAGGCACTTTTCCCCTTGAGCAAAAACATGAAACTATTCAATGAATACTGAACTGAAGGTCTGCACAATTTCATTTAGATGGTAATGTTCAGTTGCCAGTGCCTGCTACTTTGTAATTGTACTTGTAATACACTGAGAGTATGTTTAAAAACACAAGACGTCTGTTTTGAATGAACACGATTTTGCGCTAACCAAAAATAATCCTTTTAAATTAAAGTGAAAAACAGATGCAATAAGTTCATCAGTCCATATTCAATAAGCCCCTCTCATGCATGCAACACAAAGCAACAGCAGTCAACATCAAATTTACTTGTTGATGTTTACATATAAGAACTTCATAGGCAGAGGTGGGTAGTAACAAAGTACATTTACTCCATTACAATTACTTGAGTAAATGTTTTTGAGTAAAGAGTACATATGAAAGTGGGTACTTTTACTTTAACTTCGCTACACTGGGTGATGTTCCTCTCGTTACTTAATCTTAATGCAATACATGTTAAGAAACGTGCAGTTTATTCCAAGCGTGCTGTCTTTTATTTCCCGGGGCATGCCCCATTCGCGAATAAATCACTATTTTGAGATGATTCTGTTCAAGGCCTTGATCAAACATGTTGGCAAAGTGGTCTGAATTGGTTCATGAATCAGTCTGAATGATTTGTTCATCTACACTCAATTTAAACGAAACCTGCAAATGCTACTGCTTGTCTGCGTTAAAGATCTTTATTAGTTGAACACCTGCAATGAATGATTCCACAGGTATGCATTCGATTTAATTTCATAGAAGTAATACTTTGTAGTAGTGGTTACTAGGGGCCCTATCATACACTTGGCGCAATGCGGCGCCAGGCGCGACCAGAGGCGGACAAAGTACTCAACTCCATCACTTGAGTGAAAGTACAGATACTGCTGGTCAAATATTACTCCATTACAAGTAAAAGTTGTAAAGACAGATTTTTACTTAAGTGCAAGTACAGAAGTACTTGCTTTTAAAAGTACTTAAGTACCAAAAGTAAATTTCCCTTTTTATGTCAACGCACTGTTTTATTATTGTTGTTTGTAATACTTACAATACTTCTGAAGCAACTTAGAATGCATTACACCTGCTGAATACACTGACTAGCTTGTAGTATATTTGGAATAAAGAGCTTTTAGAATGTTAAAACCCTATGGGGAAAAAACAAAACAAAAAACATTATTTAACACCCCTACACCCCCACAAAAGCAGGATGGTAGTGATCTCACACAGCTCTGACAGTGTGTGCACACATCTATGTGTAACCATTCATCCACATTTGAACAGAGTGGACAGTGAAATCCTGTAAATACAGAGTGATAAG